TTTTTTGTGCATTTATTCCAAGTACACTTGCCAATTAAATTCTGCTTGCATGTTTACCACTGGCAGCTTAGTCTGTCCTAACAAATCTCCATCTTTTTCCAATCTCTGAAAGGTCAACGTATCTTTCAACATGTGTGGTAACTTTATTTTTGTATTCAAAGAGGGATGATTTGTTCGGCCAACCAAAAAGCAAGTGGGAGAAGGGTTATTCAATTTGTGGGATTCCTGACGAAAGACGGCACATGGCCGGAGCAGAATTAGCAATTCACACTACCTGCTACTTCAGTGAGTTTCAAGCCTTCTCATAAATATAAATTATAATTATGTTTTCCGATTAGTCACATTACAGACTTCATAGAAGACAAATTGTAAACAGGGTGCGTTAAATTTGTTAGCTGTAATGCCACAGAGATATGAATGTGGTATTTCGGGTACGTGTATCCGCCATTGCATGCCCTAGGGCACTGGTGTCAGTGGCTGTTTTATTTCCCACGCGGCAAAAACGAATATGCCAATTAAAACACACAGAGAATGTATTCGGAACTGGCGTCAAATTTAGACAACTTACGCTCACTAAATCAGCAGTAGCTCAGGGTTTAAAATCGGAACGCATTTCAAACGCAGACAGAATCAAAATCCCAACAAGCCGAATTTAAAAGCACTTAAAATGATTGCATTCGTTGCGCTATTTGAGAACTGTTTCTACAAAATTGAATAAGCCGGATAATCGATTAAAAACGCAATGCACAATTTTATTAAAATATATTGGTTTTTTGTGCATTTATTCCAAGTACACTTGCCAATTAAATTCTGCTTGCATGTTTACCACTGGCAGCTTAGTCTGTCCTAACAAATCTCCATCTTTTTCCAATCTCTGAAAGGTCAACGTATCTTTCAACATGTGTGGTAACTTTATTTTTGTATTCAGAGAGGGATGATTTGTTCGGCCAACCAAAAAGCAAGTGGGAGAAGGGTTATTCAATTTGTGGGATTCCTGACGAAAGACGGCACATGGCCGGAGCAGAATTAGCAATTCACACTACCTGCTACTTCAGTGAGTTTCAAGCCTTCTCATAAATATAAATTATAATTATGTTTTCCGATTAGTCACATTACAGACTTCATAGAAGACAAATTGTAAACAGGGTGCGTTAAATTTGTTAGCTGTAATGCCACAGAGATATGAATGTGGTATTTCGGGTACGTGTATCCGCCATTGCATGCCCTAGGGCACTGGTGTCAGTGGCTGTTTTATTTCCCACGCGGCAAAAACGAATATGCCAATTAAAACACACAGAGAATGTATTCGGAACTGGCGTCAAATTTAGACAACTTACGCTCACTAAATCAGCAGTAGCTCAGGGTTTAAAATCGGAACGCATTTCAAACGCAGACAGAATCAAAATCCCAACAGATCACAAAGAATTTCACTATTAGGTCTTGAAAAAATGCAAATTAGAAGTTTTTTCTTTTGGATAGCATAAAATTACCAGTTACTACCGCCTCAAATACAAACTTTCAATTAGTTATATTTTGCAATGTTGACAAGAGCCCACATATAAAAAATAAAACAATACTTTATCTTTTTGTAGCTTAAATGCGTCATGTTTGTGTTGATTAAATATATATTTATTTTCACAGTCTATACACAAACGTTGTAATTAAATGATGTTAAAATTATATAATATTAAAACATTACAATACTTTATCTGTTGTTTTGTGTGGGTGCAAAACCTGATCTCTCACGTCAAGGAAAGAATTGTATTCAAAGAGGGATGATTTGTTCGGCCAACCAAAAAGCAAGTGGGAGAAGGGTTATTCAATTTGTGGGATTCCTGACGAAAGACGGCACATGGCCGGAGCGAAAAACCATTAGCCCAAAGAGGGAGAAGTAATGAGAGGCTGGATAGAACTGAGGAGCTGAATAAATTTGTATTCTTCAATAAATATCAGGACAATGAAATAAAATCAACGATGAAAACATGGACGGGGCATGTAGTGCGCATGAAGGAGATAAGAAATGGGTACATTTTTGTTGAAAAGCCTGGAGGAAGACTACTTGAAAGACCTAGGAGTAGATGGGACGATAATATTAAAATTCGTGAAACTTTAGAAGATAGGGCTGCAGTGTGCAGATTGGGTTAATTTGGCTCAAGATAGCGGGCTCCCGTCAAGATGGTAATAAACTTTCGGGTTGCATGACAGGCTTGACTAGCTGAGCTTACTGTTGGCTTCTTAAAATGGACTCTCTTCAATGAAATTCGTCAGTTGCATAACAAAACTGCGCAAAATGTTAAGTTGAACGGAGGAAAACTTTACAATTAAAAATAAGTCTCTAAAATTTATTCCTTGTAAGACGATTAGACGGAAGATGGAATTAAGCCAAAAATCCCTCTTTGTTAAGACAAAAAAAAAAAAATTGGTTGCATTTGCAAAGGCTAACTTTTAAGTACTGAGTATAGCTCCCTCTCGAAGTAGACGTTAATCTGCCACAAAGTACTAGGGTAAAGCCTTACGAGAGGCGAGTACTGAAACACAAGATCACCACTGATTTCCAGTTACGTCACTGCACAGATATTTTTCTTTTCCTTCTGAAAACAGATTAATCGATGCCTGAAACTATATATATATGTCGGAATGTTTACACAAATATAAGAAACTTTTATGCAGATTACAATACAGGCTTACTTATGATATCTTAACATGGTATTCACACTTTGTATATAACATTCTGATTATCTTAATGAAAATAGGAGTAGTGAAGACTAGAAAGGGACGAGGGAAACGTGTTTTCATATAGTATTTTGTGAGATCTGAGGTTCTCACGACGATGAGGAGTCGATGTTACTTTTGGTCGTGAAGTCGTGCACACTTGCAACATCTCGTAGAACGATCAGTTCTGCAGATTGAGGCAGTATGTTTCCCGGGAACGTTATTATCTAGCTACGAGTCCACACGGCGTCACAAGCCAGAAGAATTAGATCGACAGTTGGCAAAGTAAGTAAAACCGCATGGAATTCTAATCAAGTCGGAAGCTTCGAGAGTTACCGATCACTGGAATACTCAACAGAACGGAGTGCTGGCAGATTTTATCTTCTAACAGGACTGTCCGTTCATGTTGTCATTTTAATGCCTTTAATAGCGGAAGTAATGGCATTCCCACAGTAATGTACTAGTAGCACATGCAATACGCCTGGATCAGAAACTCTTAGGTCACTCCACACGGCTCATGAATCTACACCACTTCGATTCTAGATTTGGCGCTATTTAGTCGAATATCTATTCAACATGGCCGAGTTTCGAAACCAATTCAAGAACGGATATTAAGGTAAAGTTTCAAGCACGCAGTCACTGAGTCATCCTTGGTCCCTTAATGTCAACTGGGAGGGATGCCAACGTCCGTCCTAGTTTCTCTCGATGAGTGATATGTTGTGGTCATCAATCATCATCAATCTCCACTCTCGAAACTCGAAATACGACACAGTCCACTAACTCGATTAACAAGATGGCGACAATGTTATACATATTACCGTAAAATGACTGTTATTTCTGTAAACCGACGGAGCGGCCCTGGGGAAATCGAAAGTAGCTCACAGATTGAGTTAAATCTCTACTTCCTCAGTGCTTGGCATTACACTGTAAGTGGAATTAGTGACGACAATGTTTTAAGTACTACCGCACCTGCGGCTCTGAGCAGGTAACGTCAGGATCATCAGAAATTGTTACAATTACGTGACAGAACAGTAACAAACACGCAGATCTCACATTGATATGATTCTGCGTTACACCTGAATACGCAGTTCACAAAAACATACGACGGAAAACTGCAGATCAGAGTTTTCTT